AGGAAGTGTAGTATTTATTAAAAATATAAAATACACTATTTCTGTTATGTTTCTTAAAGAAATTAAATTGGGCAAATAAAGTGCTTTTCACTTAGTTTAAATCTTGTAAAATGCATATCTTGAGCTAGGGAAGCGATAAAAATATGATTCCAATTTTGTTGAGTTTGTATTAATATGCTATAGCTAGGAAAAATGATAAACCCATAGTATTCTATTTTGAATAAGGTCTTTCTATTTAACCCTAAATAAATAGTGATTTCTGATGAAATTCATTAGAGTAAAAATAGGTAACATATGGTCATGCAAAAATTTTGTACAGTGTTATTGTGCTAAGATGAGGTTAAAAAAATATAAAATATGTTGTTTGACACTTCTCACTACGTCAAACCATTTTCACTAAAATAAGCCTATGTACCTTGTCATTTTTATAGAGGATGATATACTTATTCAGTGGACATGAAATTTATACAGTAGCCTATTGGGGGCATATATGAGCTACTAAAATTTTCTTAGAATTTACTGTACACTTTTCATATATGTTTCTTATTTGACCTTAGTGTCCAAATAAATTAATAATGGCATTTAAATAATTTATTTGAGCTTGACCATTATATTTTCTAAAGTGTATATGATGCCTATGAACTGTTGGTACTATTAGTTGTGCCTAGATTTAATTGCTTGTATGCAGTGAAATATTAATTGCTCTATAATTCAATTATAGTGACTGTTTTGGACAGTTTCTGTTGTTAAGTAAATTGCATGGGTAAAATAATATTTGTTGTGAATCTTTTCAATAACAAAGTTGTAGATAACTTACTTATATTGCTTGTGTCAAATTTTTATGGCAATAGGCTAAATGGTTTGAGAGTTATAGCTGTTGAAAGTTGGTCTCCAGAATGCTTATTCCGTGGAATTTCTGGACAGATCTAGGAAATTGTTTTGTTTGATCTTGATAGTCATTGAATCATCTTGATATGACTATACGAAAGTTGTAGGCAATTTTATAAGCTTTCCATAAAGTCCAAGATCATAGTATTTGGTTGAGTATAACTCCATATATGGCCAAAATAATTAGCTGCTGTTTACAATCCAGAAAATAACTAAGTCAAATTATAATTGTTTGTCATATGTGATGCTTGTGTAGATGCTTAGGCTAATTGAGATTAGTTGTTAGCTACAGGTTCTAAGCCTCTTACTGATGATGAACAACTTTATCTTATGTTACTAGAACTTGGTGAGTGTATGTTTCTTGTACTATAGAAGAGATATGCACCTACTCAGTAAAGATCAACTAGAAGAAAGTTATACATCTACTTGGTTAACGAATGTTAAACTTATCATACATCTTGCGGATAACCATGCTCATGCGTATACACTTCATCAGGTCATCTCATCTCTTATGCATTCATGATACTCATTTGTGCATATGTATGCAATAGGTTCCCCGGAAGGAATGACGCTACTCGAGTTCGAACCCGAGCGTCAGGAGGAGGGGCAGGCAGCCCAGGAGCAGGAGGTTTAGGCGGAAGGATGAGTCAACGTGGAAGATCTTCCTAAGTGTCCTGATCACCAACCTTCCTTGTTTCTGAAAGGCAGGCTCCGGAGCATTCTAAGCCTCCTATATTTTCTAAATATCAACTTGAGTCCTTTTATGTTGATGCATTAAGTACTAAGGGTTGATTGGAACCACTTGCTGCATATACTTTTCTTGTCCAGACAAATATATCTTGAATCCTATGTAGGTTCAGGATCGAATATATGCTTAGCCATGCTTAGTCTAGTAGAAGTCGGGTGATTTCCTGTCACCTGTAAGATATAGGTAGATATCTGATCACGGTTGGCTATAATTGCTATCATGGAAATAACCATGTGTTGATGAATAAAAGGAGACCGGGCGGAATTATGATAGAGAAGCAACAAGGCATGTAGGTCTTAGTGCCTATTTATCCTCGTCTGTGTCGGTTAAGGACCGATTCGCTGTACGTCCTCATGTCATGTTGAACACATGCCTAGTACTTAGTTGGCCGGATAAGCCGTTCCGACCGCGAAGCCGAGTAGCTCAACTCAGGCCGGGACCCAGTAAGTGAAAGTGCGCACACTGGAGGAAGTAAGAGTGTGTGGGGAGCCAGTGGCGTGCGTCCAAATGTAGGCCGAGCCTAAACTTTCTGGCAGACTGATAGTATCCCTGAGGGTGCGGCGTTGATCGGACCCGTGACTGTACCTGAGTTGTACCAAAGGTGACCCGATGCGACTCTGACGGGGGAAGTATGGGTTTGTGTTAGGAATAACTCTCCAGCTAGTTGGAATCGATTCGAATCGCCGTCTCTCTTGGATAGTGAGAACTTGTCTTAGCAGCGACAACGTAGCATTAATGGATGGAACTTGATGGTTATGATGATGCTCAAATTAATACCCCGGATATGGTTACTAATGCTTGTTAGCTTAATCACATGATTGCTCTAGCACAGGTGCTAATCTAGAGATGCTTAATTGAATAGGTATTCAATTTGATGCTAAAGATATTAAATCTCCGAGTTATGTTACTTAAGCTTTTATACAAAATGTTGTCAAGCTAACTCCACCGATAAAGCATTGCATACTCCTTAGTGTCCTATTATTTATGGTTTACGACGGATAAGTCTAGCTGAGTACATTCTCGTACTCAGTGTTTATTCCCTCTTGTTGCAGATGATATGATGTATCAGGGGTACTGTAAGAACTGCCTTCATCCTGCCGTGGATGAGGACTAAACCATGGGGCATGGTACTCCTAAGTTATCCTCTCTGTTATGCTTTTGTTGAAAATGATCGTTGTACTAGCATGTATTTAAACTAAGTGTGATGTTGATGTCAAACTACTTTGCTTCCGTTATTTGAACTTGGTTTGTAATAATTATGTGAACTTCGATGTATGTGAGATACTTGTGAATCATTTGTGAACTGTGATGTAACATGTGACTTGTTATGTTGAATCATATACGATCTTGGCTTGTATGTTGGTTGGTTTGAGATCCTTCATGATTTCATCGGACTAACGGGTTTATATGGGCTCAAGTATGATAGTTTGATCGTTTCGATGATTGCTATTGTATTTGTGCTCTTATAAATTGGACGGTTCTGTTAAGTTCATGCATGGAGACCTAAAAAGATGAATCTGCAATAAGCTTCAAGCCAGGATTTTTCTTTAGTACTACTACTTTTTAGAAGAGAGAGAAACGGGTAGAGATAAGTACCTTCAACTGTATAATCCAGAAAGATGTCAGCAAGAAACCTCAGAAGTCAGGAATGACAGTGAAGCGCCCAAGATAATAATGTCATCAATGAGATCAAAAGGCAGAGGCAGGGGTGTTCATGATACACGAGGTCCTCGTTTGTTTGAAGCCCTTCGTGGGCAGGAGATATACGAGAAGTTCTATTAATCAGTTTGTGGAATTAGCGAATTTAAACCTGCATCTGATTTACTAGGAACTGAAAACCAAGAGAGGGTTGACCAGTAGCTGTGCTAACCAATGGTTTGCAAGAGCAAGGCTAACTACCATTCTTTCTGGTCAGGAGTAAGATGGGCTTGTGTTGCTACAAAGGATTTTTGAACTACCAGAGAAAACAGCGCAGAGCATCACCCCCGACTCTTTTGACAACTTATACTGGAAAGTTGCCTCAAATGCGAGTTGTTTTTTTTTTGAAAAAACGCAAGAGATTTGCTGTATTTATATTATCATAGGAGAGTAAAAAAGCACAAGTACAGATCCATATATAGAAAGAAAAAGGAAGACAGAAAGACAAAACAAGTACTCAATAATGGATTCGTACTGAACCAAATACGAGTGAAAATAATCACGAGCACAGGCACAGGAAATCAGGTATAAGAGCCATAGAATCTTCAAGCTCTGAACGAAGTTACTACTACCGGAAACTTAGGAAGTTAGCCAAAGGTCAAAAGTTTGGCATGATCATATTATTGAAAAAATTATTCATGAATAAGTTTAGAATAGACTGATACATAACAAATAAATAAATTTAAAGCAGTCTGGAATTGCTGGTGATGCAAAGATAGCAGTAAAGTAGGTATTCAGGACCGACTGAAAGGGCCGAGACAGTTGGTCCATAATTTAACTGAACTTGAGTGAAATGCAGAACTTGTATTATGGAAAGTACGCAAACAAACTTGAATGTTCAGACACAGTAATAAAACTTTTCGATCTTCGCTGAATCCACAGAGTAGTCAGGATAACTGGCTTGCCTGGAGGCCCATAACCCAAATGTCTCAGTCTCATTACGAGGCACAACTTCCTTCTCCTCGACCAAGCCCCTCTGTATATTATCAGAACTGGAAGAACTACAGCAAGCAACCTGATGAAACTGATGGCGCCCGCACGTTGCTGAATTCTGTGCCAACTCTGATGTTCAACCGAAATAAAGGAACAGGTACTTATGTACGTCCGAGAACCCAGATCATGCACATGCTTTGAGCAATCCAGAAGAGCACCAGCATGATGATCACATCACTCGGCTGAGCAGTAGGCAACTAGACATTCATTCGAAAACTGGAGTGCCTCACTGGGCACGCCGACTAATGGTTTCCCATCTTTGCCGAACCTGTATAAGCGCCTCCATGACGCACAAGTGGTGCTGGGTACGTCTACTGTCGGCATTTCGTCCAACAGCCTGAGCGTATACCTGCCAGGCAGGAAGTGCAGGGATGTCTACTCCAGATTTCTCTCCCCTGTTTGGGTAGTGTACAGATATCTATGAAAATCTCAAAATCTTTAACTTATTCAAACAGGCTTTTAGTTTTAATTTAGTTTACAACCAGCAGATTCAGAATCCATAGTAGTGTTTTGCATTGGCTAGCGGCCATTTTCACTCACTCTTGCATTACTTCCATGAAATTGTATCACAATTCACAATTTACACGGGTGCACGTTTTTTAGGTGACACGGACAGACGGTCGATCAGAAATTCAGAATACCGCGGCATGTCATCGCCTTCGCCTCAGACTCATCAGAGCTTGCTGGAGACGGCGATGGGCCTGGGCTTGGGCCGGGCCGGGGCGGCCTCCTTGGGCACCACGACGGTGAGCACCCCGTTCTCCACGCCGGCCCTGATCCTGTCCACGCGCACGTTCTCCGGCAGCGCCACGGCCCGCGCGAACTCCGGCTTGCCGCGCTCCGCCACGTGCCACACCGCCCCCTCCTCGTCCTCGTGCTTCCCCTTGTCCTTGGCCGCGGGCGGGGGCGGGGCGCCCCTGATGGTGAGCACGTTGCCCTCCTCGACCTGGACCTTGACGTCGTCCTTGCCGAGGCCCGGCACGTTGACGCGGAGCACGTGGGAGGCCGGGGTCTCCACCCAGTCCATGGCCGCCGCCGCCGCGCCGGAGGACCACTCGACGGCGGGGAAGAAGGGGCGCGCGTGGAAGAGGCGGCGGAACGGGCTCCCGAAGAAGAAGTCCGCCATTGCAGGGAGTTGGACCAGACTTGGGGCAAAGGAAGCGGAGCTGGATCGATGGAATGGAAATTGCAGAGGAGTTGATCCCTGGCGAATTGGGGAAGACGGGAACAATGCGGGACGGAGGGGGTTAAATTATGAAGAACACGTGACACGTCCACGTCACCCGATGGTTCCAGAACCAGAGAGAGAGAGAGAGAGAGAGACGTGGAGAATGATGTAGAGGGTGATTTGAGAAGCCTCTAGAATACGATGATTGATGGCACTTCTGAAATATGGGCCTGGTTTACTTTGCAAATTTTTTTAACCTAATAAATAGTACCATTTTCGTTTTATTTGGTAAATATTGTCTAATCGTGGACCAACTAGGCTCAAAAGATTTATCTCGTGATTTCCAACTAAACTGTGTAATTAGTTATTTTTTTTACCTACATTTAATACTCTATGCAAGCGGCTAAAAATTGATGTGATGGAGAGAGAGTAAAAAAACTTAGAATTTGGATGGCATGTAAACAAGGCCACGATGAATAAGCATAGTATTAGTTCGCCATAGACGTTTAAAAATTCCAGGTGCGAATATGGATAGGATTAACAAAAAGTTACGGGAGCATCGCCACGCAGTACCTGTCTTAAAAATAGAGTATTTTTTTAAAGTAGTAAAAAAAAAGTCATTCTTGTTTTCCTAAAAGTTAACAACTTTTAACTTTGATTAAATATATTTAGTAAAATATTAATATTTATAGTATATAATTAATACTATTAGGTAGATCATTAAATATGCAGTGGTAAATCTAGCCCAATAGATGACCTAGGGCAGACTTATAGTATAAGAATCAAGATGTTACTTATTAATAGCGGAATCATCAATAATACATGTTTTATTGGAGAAGTAGAGTACAGAAACTGTCAATTAGACAATTTTGAATAGTTACTACCACTTGCTGAGTTTCTACTACTACTACCAAAGAAGTTTTTCAAATCTGCATAATTAATAAATTGAATCAGACAATCGTTGACTATAAGTAATCAAATCAAATAATCAACCACACATTTCCAGCTTCATCTACTCCCCCATTCACAGCAGCTTCATCTGCTCCTCCATCCATCACCAAAATAAAAAATCCTGCAGAGCTGGGCAGTGGGCACTCTGATCACAGGGCAGGAGCTGGATCGCTAGGCCAGGGGCTGGCCGCCTGGCTGGCTGGCCGAGGGCCGCGGGGCATGGCGGCCCGCAGCCAATCATGGGCCGCGTGGGCGTATGACGAGAGCTCCGAGCGGCCGGGGCTCCGAGGTGGCGGGGTCGGGCCGCCGGGTGCTAGGGGAAGGCGGGGAGGTGGGGGAGCCGTGGCCGCCGGCGGGATCCGGAGATGGTGTGGCCGCGAGGGCGAGCGGCGAGCCTAAAAGATGCGGCAACATGAGATGCAACTGTGGAGGTGGAGCGGGCGAGCGGTGCCTAAGGCCGCAGGGCTAGGACGCTGCCACGTGGGGTGTCTGTTGGGCTGTAGGCTGTTGCAAATGGCCGTGGCCCAGTATCAGGCGCCAGGCCCATGACGCTCATCATCGCCCATCTCCGCGACTCCGCCTCGTCTCGAACAAGCAGCGCTGTCATCGTCTTCAACCTTGGCTCCTTGCCTCCTCGACCTCGCGCCCTCGCCAGACGCCTGCTCCGGGGGTGGGGAAGGGGTGCTCGGCCACAGGGACCTAGGGCGGCCGCCCTAGCTCACCTAAGTGGTGGCTCCGCCTCTAAATATATTTTCATAATAACTTATTTGGAGACACAAATGTTGCACATATTTTCTATAAATCTAGTCATAGTCGAGAAAGTTTGACCAGCCTATAGCGACTCTTTTTTAGGGACGGTGGGAGTAGAAGGTAGCGAAGGTACTCAAGTTACGGGTGCCACTGAAGGCGATCAACAGCTTCGTGAAATGAGCTGATACACAGCGTGGCCATTGATTTTAATCTAGAATAGCATTACTTAACATAGGGGTGTTTGGGACTGCTCCGCTCCCGTTTTTCAACTCCGCTCTAACTCTACGTTACCAAACACCTTCAGCTATAAGAACTCCGCTCCATGAAAAAGGTGGAGTTGAGGGCTAACTCCACGTTTTTTCTAGAGCACAAAAAGAGGTACTTTAGTTTTTAGAGTTTTGTATTCTCACGTGGAGTTGATGGGATAATTAACCACCTTGCCCCTTATTATCACTAGTCACTTCGCCACTCGTTCGTCTCCCCTCCACCTGTACGCATGAAGGACATGACCCTTCGTTCTCCGAGACCATTTTACATGTGCATACACATCCCACATTTTTTGGCATTTTGAAATAAAATCAACATTTTCTGTATATCTCAACTACAAATCGCTGGGCCATGGATTACGCTTACACCTGCCGTTTCTTTTGTTTTCCTACTAAAAAATTGTTTCCCTTATTGCTAAACAAATCAGCGTGAACAGGCCTAGCGCCCAAGAACGAAAAAAATTTGACTCGCGGCATGCGATCAGATATCATTGTGTCTGCGAAAGGCTCCTCAACTCTACCGGATTCCTTATATGTTACATCGGATTTCATTTGCATGAAACAAACGTCAATGAGGGCATAACGTACCATTTGTGTGGAAACAACTCATTCATGGGCTGGAGCTAGGCTGTGTACCCAATGATACCATCTGCTTCACAAACTTCATAGTGAAACTGCTCCACGGTGAAGTTGGTGGAGCGGACCAGTCCCAAACAACCCCCGTAATATTTGTTATATAGAAGAAATATAATACGTCAACATACAAATATAGAATTGAGTTAAAATAGCTTCCTATCGAAATACCTACTCTTATCTCGGTACAAAAAATTAGGGTGGGCCACGCCCTTAGCTAGGTCCCCGGTATTCAAATATACCTACTCTACCTTAGCTCAAAATATAATGCTTACATGCAAAATTTAAGGCCCCCGTGGAACGTGGGATTTTTTTCCCATTCCTACGCTTTTCCTACGAAAAATGAATTGAATCATGTAAAGTTTCCGAGAAATCCTTGTGTTCTAAAGAGGCTCTTAACGTACCGAAAGATCCAGTGGTGTATTAAAGAACTAGTACATAATTTTGAAGATAACTTTTTTGATTGGTGCCGCAGTTTGACAAGCATAACCTTAGTGCTGGCCTTGGGGGTATGTGTGTGGATGGGTGTGGGGGGTAGTAGTAGTATTAGGATATTACCGATATTACTTGGGCTAACCTTTAACAAACTATGTCTGCCATATAAAGTGTGATAAGTAAAATCAAAGCTGCTAACCTTTAACAAAATATGTCTGCCATAGAAAGTATGATAAGTAAAATCAAAGCCACATGCACTTGTAGTAAAGTTTGGCACGAATATGAATCTATGACGTGTGAGACATGATGCTAATAAAGTGTGGCATATCATGGTTGTAATGGTGAAAAGAAACTATAGCATGGCAATTGTGGTCACGAACCAAACATGATCCTAAACTATTAGATAGAACTAGAAGAACACCTCGCGCGTTGCTACGGAAACTACTGATTTGGAATGAAATTTAACTATTCATATAATTCTTAGGAAGAAATTAACTATTATAAACTAAGGATAGTATGGCACGCTGACGTGGACAACTAAATATATGTTAGTGGATGATGTGTCTCGCTGACATCATTTTTTTAAGCCTCTCATCCGAATACGCTTGTAGCATCTGTTTCAAGCACACACACACACGCACGCATCCACACACAAACACACTCACACCACACGTGCACCACTGGACCTACAACTACACACGAGTAGAAGACCCCGCGTCCTTCTAGAGATCACCGAAACCATCGTAGCTTCGTAGAGGACGGGAACGTCGCAGTCCCTTTATGGCACCACACGAGACCAGGCTGTAGATTTTATTCTGGGAGCTAGTCCCGGTGAGAGACGCAGGTCGATTCTAGGAATCGAACCTGCGCCGGCTGCGTGGCCACTACCGCCGCTAGCCACTCGAGCTGAGGCTCGGTCTCCGCTGACATAATAATTGCTTGTGCCAGTGGACTTTAATTGTAAGTGACAGTGGACTGCTAAGGTGGACACCTTGCATGTAAAATAATATTCTAGTGGAGTTTAGAATTATAAGAGATACAATGGACTTTAATTATAAGTGACAGTGGACTGCTGAGATGGATACCTTGCATTTCAAGATAATATTCTAGTGGAGTTTAGAATTATAAGAGATATATACAGAGGAGCGCACTCGAGGCTACGGTGCTCGTCAAAATGATCAATGGATCATTGAGAGATGTGGCAGGGGAGCCCCTGGAGGCTACGGTGCTCGTCAAAATGATCAATGGATCATTGAGAGATGTGGCAGGGGAGCCCCTGACTGGTCTTGTAGCACTTACGAAATGTTCCAATAAATGGTTAAAGTTAACACAATAACACCGAAACAGTTGTTAATGCATTTCCAGTTCCTGAGATAGCAACGGATAGTTTGAGCACTTGAGGCTATAAATACCCTTTGCGCGACCATTTAATTTCCATGTGGTTGAAACTTTGGAACACAGGAAAGAAAAAACACAGAAATAGAAAAAAACATAGAAATTACACGGAATGCATTTGCAAAACAGAGGATTAGAAAACATAGGAATTTGAAAGGAATGATCATTTGGTTGGATCATAGAAAAAACGTAGGATTTTTACCAAGAGGTTTGAGTGATGCTAAAGTTCCTATAGTTTTCCTTCAAAACAACATTCAAAGGAAAATTTCCTACACTATATATTTCTATGCTCCATTCATGTGAACTAAATGCATGAACAGTAACACTCATGTAGGATTTTCAGCCCTATGTTTTTCCATCATTTTTCCTATGAACAAAAGAAGGTCTTAATAAGACATATATATTTGAGGGCTCACCTTTTGAAAGTTGAGAAGATTAAGAAAATATCACAATAGTTTGGACTTGCTTAGTGCTACTTTAGGCTTATTAGGACATTTTAAGATGTTAGCCCAGCGTTAAGCAAGATTTCTACACCCCTATGTTATGTAGATTATGCGCTTCAAAATAGGGGCAGATCTAGCGGTGGGGTGGACAGGACTCAAGCTCCCTAACATTGCAATACACTACTTTCTTGCAATTCACTTTATGCGTTTACCTTTCCTATAATTGCTTTGCATACTTGTTAAGATTGAATTAACCTAGGCTGCTAAACTTTTGTGTTTTATAGAGATATGAACACATAGAAAAATGTACACATTAGATATAAAATCACTACTGCAAACTCATTTATGGAGGCAGATGTTTTGTATTTACAAGGGTAGCAAGGGCCAACACCCTCTAGCAAATGGTTTGTTCTGATAGGCCATTTCCTGAGGCTATGACAGAGATAGGTGTTAGAAGCAACAGGCTTTAGAGACCCGAATCTATAAATGATTTCTATATATAATCTATAAAACACAAAAACAACCATAAAATATATAAGTATTTTCCTAATCCCGGGACAAGCACCATGTCCCTGAGTTGCATGATTTTTCGTGAGGAATACATACGCATGCATTTTCTAGAATTAGAACTCTTGACCTAAAGCCTCAGGTGAGCTCTCCTTACCACCTCAGCACACCCACGGCCGCTTATAACAAAGTATGCGAAGCTATTGTTTTCTATTAATTTTTATAAATATTTTATTGACTATTAGTGCCCCTAAAATGTCTCAAATAAAGAATTCCAAATACAAAGTTTTAGATCTTGTGAGCTATACAACTTTGGTATAGGGCTTGTCTCCATATGAGGTCATTTGTTAATTATTTGAATTTCAAAATCTAAAATTTTAAAATAAATATTTTTGACTAAATAATTTAAATAAAAGACTTTTGAACTACAAAGTTGTAGATCACGTCGAAAACTACAACTTTAGTGTAGGCCATGTCAATGCTCGAGGTCGATTGAAAATTTCAAATTTGAATCCCAAAATCTAGAAACTAAAAATGAATTTTTGGAACTCTAACTGATTTTATTTAGATAAAGAAACCTATCAACTATAAATTTGTGGATCGTTTCGAGCATTATAGTTTGAATATAAAATTCGTCTTTATCTGGCTTCATAGAAGAAAAGTTTATGAATTGTTTTGTACGACAACTATTTATAAAGACCCGCCTTTATAAATCCAATTTCAGAGACGGAAAATTCATGGACATTACTAGTGTGCCATCTCCACCTTTATTTATTTTTCAACCATGAGACACATCCTCGAGTTATCATAAGTCCAATGATACATATGCACTTCCCGATCCTTGAACATCATGTGGTATAGATTGTATCAAACATTTTTCGTTCTTGAGCTTTTTCACTCCTTTAATTTATAGTCACTCCTTTTTCTAGTCTATAGTATAATTGCTACTTATTTTTAGTTTGGTACTGCCTAATCTCCAGATGATTCATTGTCGTCGAATAATTCAAATGGGGACCGTGGTTGGGACCCATCAGGTCGTCGACATCGACATCTTATTACATGACAAAATATTGACTTTGATCTCGCTAATGATCCTGTTACACGGAAATATGAGGCAGCCGGTAAAATCCTCAATGGTAATAACCTATAAATTAGCACCTTGTGACCATTAATGCATATTGTTGGTGGATATTTTTATAGTAGCCATTCCATATTGTATTCATCGAGATGATTATGTTCTTTGTATGCGTAATAATTGTATCTGTAAGAGTTGTTGGTGATTTTTGGGCATAGGTCAATCACGTTATGATCCGTGGGTACTAATAATTATCTACAAAATATTTTTATCTACTTTATATTATATCTTTAAAATTTAATGAAGTGATACTAGCAAGCCTCTTCTTCATGGTTGTAGTTTTTGCATGACTTTGTTGTGTTACAAATCAACACTCTGACCTACCCACCAGCTTCTTCAGAAGTGGCACCAAAAGAGTGTGATACAACTTCTTGTATGGACCCTACACCGACTCTACTATGATCACACCTTCCCACCAACAATAATAAGATCAACTCTATACACAAGAAAATTGAACCTCTATTGACTTCTATACACTTGGTACAACAATTAGTCACATTTCCTTTTGTAGCTATCCCATCACTCCTAAAAACCCATAACATTCTACCATGGCATTGGCTTCTCACTTGTGTTGGCTTAGCCCCTAGGGAGTGAAGGGCACCCATATTTATGGTGTTACATGATCCCATGTGGCACATTCCACACTCTTCTAACAAAATATCTACACTTTAGAACTTTTCACACTTTCCCATTATCTTATCCTTATGCATAACAAGATCCAGACTTCTAGTCTCCAAAGCCTTGTAGAATTTTCCAAAACTCTTCTTTCTTTGCCATGGACTTACTCTAGAATCTTGAGTGACAAATTAATATCTTCTCTCGTGTAATCTCTATATTCTTCTAGAAACTTCTAAATATGCATTGATGTTCTCAACACTTCCCCTCAATGCATAATTGTCTCTGGTTGCCAGACCGTTGTCCTTGGATCTTCTATGCTTTACCATTCATCTTTTATTCAAATTTTAATTTTTATTTTAGTAAAAAGATTAGTGGTCCACTCTTAGTTTCTACAATGGCATAAATAGTTGGTTTCGCATGCATCGAGGCACTCAAGATGTTGAGTTTGTTATATCAAAGAATTATATGTGTAGTAAAATTCATTTATACAAACATAGAGTGCTTAAACTTAAATTACCTGTACTAACAGGTCATAGTGTTTCAAACAATCTCAGCGTGTATACAATTATTTGCATTTCAGTATTAGTAGGACATAGTGTTGTGGAGTAGCCTTCCATGGATGCAAACATAAAACAATATATAGAAAACTTAGCAAATAAAGTATTACGAGGTCGTTTGAAAAATCCAATTATTTGAATTTCAAAATCTAAAATTTTAAAATAAATATTTGTGACTAAATAATTTAAATAAAAGACTTTTGAACTACAAAGTTGTAGATCACGTCGAAAACTACAACTTTGGTGTAGGCCATGTCAATGCTAGAGGTCGATTGAAAATTCCAAATTTTGAATCACAAAATCTAGGAACTAAAATTGAATATTTGGAACTCTAAATGATTTTAGATAAAGAAACCTATCAACTACAAAGTTGCGATCGTGTCGAGCATTACAATTTGAATATAAAATTAAGTCTTTATCTGGCTTCATACATGAAAAGCTTATGAATTGTTTTGTATGACAACTATTTATATGGACCCGCCTTTATAAATTGATTTGCAGAGACAAAATTTCATGGACACTCCTACTGTGCCACCTCCACCTTTATTTATTTTTCAAAGCCACCTCTAAAAGTTAACTATACTAGCGATAATTGTCTCAATGTCGCCACAACTTCCATATCAGTTGCTACCTTCTAGTGTGTCTAGCTAGCTTGCTGAAGGGAAAGATGAGGATATAGAGATATAGGAGGGGTAGGGATTGAGAAGAGAGAGAGAGAGAGAAAGAAAGAGAAAGAAAGATCTAAAGACCACGTATTACATGCAAGTTTTGAATATTTGGATCTCATATGGGTACAATTAGCAAGTTTAGACACTTTAGAGTGTCAAAATTGCATTTGGATGTACCAAAAATCTTGAATAAGAACATAGGATAAGTTCAAAACCACTAACTAATTTTACTCATTAGTCATGCATGTCAAGGCCACATCATTGTACATTCAGCAAACAATTTGGACGGTTTAATGCAAATTCCAAAAATTAGACCTTATATGGTACAATTAGGATTTTATGGTATACTAATAAAGTACATTTTAAGTGCACTGGGAACCTGAACGCATGACAAGTTTAATTAAGGACCACTGATGAAATTAGTTTAGAATTTAATTAGATCGATGTAAATTCATGGCTTGTATAATAAGCACGCAATTATTTGGAAATAACGCTACCAACCATCCGCTAATGAACATTTTCAAGCCCTACCCACACTCATTAGCAATGATTTAACAGCACTAAGCAGAGCACTAAGACAAGCTCATCCATTTTCGTACAAACTCCTCATGATGGCAACCATCGTCGTTGTCACTAGCTAAAGCTGAAAATGATCCAGCTCGTCAACCGCCATATATTCATCACTATATGATATGCCATTCCAAGATGCAGTTCCTGTAGCCAATTACCTTAAGGCTCAGTTTGGATCCTTGGAATTAAATTCATTTTAATAATCATAATTTAGATACATATTAATTAAGCTAATATGGTTAATTGTATATGGATTACATCTGTATATTGTTGTTGGCTACACGAGAGAGATACTTATGTGTTGCATTTCTATAGTAGTGGAGCGAGTTGAAGAGCATATAATAAGTTGCAAAGTAGAAACATAACATAGTGATTTATAGAATCAATATACATCTCCCACCTTATGAATTTCAGATAAGCTTATATGTGAACTTTGGACGGTGGTGAAATGTCAAATTCCAAACCAAATAGCCTAGTCTATTATGTAGATTTCAATTTCTCCAAATAAAAGGATCCAAACAGACTCTAAAGAGATATTGATAATAATAACAATAATATACATAAATGAACATCACCGACCGTAAGAGATGACACCAATTCGACACAAACTTGCACAATGCTGAATCATATGCTCCATAATAAGTACACTGTATATAAGTATATATATAGGGAATAAGCAAAGGCCACATAATTTGTTATTTTTGCTGAAAATATATCTTGCGTCGTGGCTACCTAGCACTAGCTGAGTAGGTGGTACCGGATGGAATCTTCACTGCTTCACATGCATGTCTGCACAGGGAACGCCTTTCAGCTTGCACCATTTCAGCATGGCTTCGCTTTGTTTCGAGAGATAAAGACGTGACAAAAGAGACCCTAAAAGATAAAAAGGAGGCAGATGGAGTAAAGCGGTTTTCAAGCCAAAGCCACCGACCGATCCAATCCAATCTGAGCCAAGTGGTGACCATTCTGCATGCTCTTAGCTTTTGCCTGCATATATGTGGTTCAGGTAACACTATTAGTTCAGGTAAAAGAGATACTTACAAATGAATGAATGCCATATATGGACACGAGAAATAGATTGTAATGTAAGTTAAGAATTGGCAGCTTCAAGCTTGTGTAGGTAAATCTTACCGCCGACACCGCCGGCCCTACGGAGGAAGGAGAGGAAGACGATAACAATGGCGACCGCTGCCACCAGGCCGATGATGATGGCAAGGGTTTTCCCAGATTCATCTGATGATGGACATTGACACTGAATTAAGAGCAGCAAACTTCTACTAAAAGTCAAACTAATCTGCTAGAAATATTTACTCCTATATACCATCTAGCTGTAGCTTTGTGCAAAGTATGGTGTTAAAGGGTTTAAAGCTACCCCAAAAAGAAGAAAAGGGTGTGCAGTACACTACTACTGAGAGACAGTACGTGGGATACCAGAGATATCCTCTGATGTGCTTCAGATTCCAATGATGCAAAGCTGGATCATTTTGGTACCACTTTGTGATACACTGCGGGGCCTCAGAGCATGGTTAACAACACAAAGAGAGAGAGAGTGAATCCATTTCAAAGCCTAGCTAAAAGTGCAGAGCGAGGAAAGTGAAAGGCAAACAAAAGTTCTTTTGGTCTACTTTGGATGAAAGATATCTTTGCATGCAGTTTGGACTTGGGGACACATCATGCACAATTTTATTTGCATCTAAATAGATAATGTACACCTACCGTAGCATGCAGTGTACATTCATGCGGACCACTGCACGAAAAGTTGATTAGTATTGAATGGTCCTGTGTCATCACTAATCAGTACACATTGTAATGCATGCAGTAACCCAGCCAGGCTAAGATAAGGACACCTTTTCTATTAATTAAGTTGAATATAATGCCTAATTGTTTGTTTATATTACGATTTGGTTAATAAGTAATATAATATAAAATTGAACTTAAGTAAATCAAGAACGTTCTATCAGGTGACTGGTGTCGTAATGATTCACACCCTGGTGTAGATGTGGGGGCTAGGGCTACACATGCAGTAAGCAATGTCAAATTTCTAGTCTATATCTACCTAGGCTTGCACAGGCTACATGGAAACCCCCAATCTCAGCAAATTTGCTGGCAGAGATGGTAGCAGGGAGCTGATAATACTCAAGTTTTTGGACCATTCAGTTGTAGCATCACCTTCGTAAACATATACCCTAAAAAACTGCTTAAAATTCATACTCTATTATTCCTTTTATCAAAAGTTATGTATCTGTGTAATTTCAGTTGATTGTGAATGCTAAACTTGTGGCACACTCCCTAGTATCTATTTTATATATACCTTTTGTAAAACCCAAACAAGGCTGTTATTTACGCTATGCTATATCATGGGGATTTTTTTTTTAAAAAAACCTCCACAATTTCGTGAATAAAATAAACCTGAAGAGAGAAAGCAGCCAAACTGTGCTAGTGTACTAATAATATACTAAACAACACTGTTTTGCAATTCTAGTACGCCTAAAATCTTGTGCAGATGAGCTGAGCCTTGCAGTTCGTGCACCCCATCATGACACGATGTATAAAATATAAAGAACTAAAGGAAGAGTGCACCGACGACGTTGTGTACCAAAAAAAAAAACCAAAGAAAAAACTATTTATTCTCAGTAAATGTCTAGTATTTTTAACAAAGTGAATCGTACGCGTATATGCTGTGGGGTGCTATGCTAGTGGGTAGGCACTTGATGATCCAGTTGTGGTATGTGCAAGATCCAACAAATATTCAGGACCAGCTGGGCCGCACTTGCCAACGTGGTTTCATCCAGCCTTCAGAGTTTTGCGTGCCGATCGATGGTACGCGGAACGAGATAACGGTGGAAACCGCAAGGATCCACGCTGTTCAATCATGCATCATATCAAGAAAGCCCCTGGATCGGCTGACTGGCCATTGGCCAAAGCAACCTAGCTAGCTAGACACTCTCACCATCACAAACCTTTGGCTAAAATCAGAGCTGAACCCAAGCTAACGGTTTGCTGATCATGTTGTTACTACTGCCTAGTAAGAATATTCTCATGTCAGCTCATGCATGGATCCAAAATTCATAATACGTACTGGATAGATGATGATCAATCAACCGTAGTTGAAATCTCATGTAAACATTAACAGTTCAAAAAGTGTATGGTAGGAGCGAGAAGATGACGGAAATTGATGGCAAGGAGCAGCTGCTTACGTACCGTGCTGTCCGTACGTGTTCGGCACGAATCCGCCATATGCGTATCCATTGCCTGCTGCTCCTCCTACACCGCCGCCGCCACCGATGACATTGCCGCCGCCCGCCGTACCGGCGCCACCTCCGACGACCGGTACTCCTCCGCCGGTGCCGGTGCCGCCGCCGGCATTGGACCAGAAGCGCGCGTAGCACTTGCCGAGGTACACCTCCCCCGCGGAGGCGTAGCCGCAGCCGGCCTTGAGCTGCGAGGACGCGGCGGAGACGCAGTCGGTGCAGGCCTTGGCGCCGAGGTCACCGACGCACTGCGACATGGCCTGCACGTACCCGGCCGCCCCCGCGCGGTACGATCCTTCGTCGGCGGGCGCCGCGGCGGCCACGAGCGCGCCCAGCGCCGCGTCGCGCATGGCCACCACGCCCGTGTCCCCGGCGTTCTCGCCGCTGCACTTCTTGAACAGCACCGTCGTGTCCTGCTTCCCCAGGAACGAGTCGTTCCCGTACCGCACGAAGCAGGCGCGCAGCTGCACTGCGGCGCCCGCCGCCGTGTTGCAGAGCGAGGAGAGCTTGGACACGGCCGACTTCACGCAGACGCCGCACACCGCGGCGGGGAGGTCGGAGCGGCACTGGTACACGCCCACCAGCTGGCCTGTCGACGCGGCCGACGGCGGCGAGGTGTAGTTGGCGTAGGCGGTGAAGCCTGCGCTGTTCACGAGGGACGACAGCGCGGTGTCCACGTCCGCGGCGTACTGCGACCCGGGGTCGTACCGCCCCTGCGAGCACCCGGCGTACACGAACGCCGTGTAGTCGTCGCCGCCGCGCGCGGGCGTCGTGCACGCGCACAGCACGATCAGCGCGACCACGGCGGGGAGCACTGATGGTGCAACAAGCTTCGACATGCTTGCTTCCTTCTTCTTGGTAATCCCTGCACGTACGGCTTTCGAAGCTAGCCGGCCGAGGGGGGCTCCAAGGGAGAAGAACAAGAGGCAGCGAAGAGCTAGCCAACTGTCTCTGTGAGTGTGGAGGGATGGGCTTATAAGATGTATACGAGTACTTAACTGGATCAACACAGTTCAATGTTAGTTTTTGCAAAGTGCTGTGGTGCCAGGTTAGATTTATTAGAGGGCTGTTTTTTTTTCTAAGTTTTTTTTTGAGTGGACTGTCTTTTTTCTAAGTAGGAGATGATTTTTTTTGGCCAATCATCCGTTCTGCTTCTGCCTATATAGCCCAATATGGACGGAGTAAAACCTCCTTCACCCACCCTCCAAGCGGGCTCCCAAAGTGGCCCACAGCCTCTCAATCAATCACGATTCGATTTTTCTTTTTCTCTTTATTTTCTTATTACTTATTACTTCTGTTTTAGCACACATTGAGCCAAATTTCGGCCCAAGTGAGACTGAGAGAAGTTTGTTCCATTAAAAAATAACTAGGCCACATAAATTGCGCAGGCAGTGCAGCTACGTGTGGGTCAATCCTAACACATGCACCATTCTAAATTATAAGTCAGCTTGACTTTTTTCTTGTACTAAAAAATTTAAAGCGATTTATAATTTGAAATGGAGAAAGTATTTTTTAATTGTATAGTAACGTAAATTGTGCAGCTAGTGTGTGGTTCAATCCTAATGTCTTTTTTTTTTCTCAATTGCACATACATATATACATGCTCTTACGAACGATCGAGTCGGCGGCATTAGTATAGAAAAGTATTAATAGTGATGGTAGAAAATGGTTTCCCTTGCTCATGTGACCGTGCATCCAGTACCCATAACCCGCACGCAACTGTGTCTGCGAGGGTTGGCTTTGACACCATTGGTAACGCACTAGAGTTCAAACAGCTCAGATCCACTCTGCATGCTAAGGGAACCATACACGTCCTCTCTTTGCGTAAAATGCTTAACTCAGGGAAGATGGTATAGACTCTAGAAGCCTTATATATTGGTCTAACCCACCTTCAACAACTAAGAGGTGGGACTAAAACCTCTATAATCACACATATATATTGGGCCACTGTGGGCCAAATTTAACTGGGTTGGATGTCACATGTTTACTTGCCTCAAAACGATGATGCAAGAACGTGAGCTAAGAATGATCCAAAGATGCACTACGTGTTCATACATCATCACCTCAGAAAGCACACTCATACAAACATACACAAGAACACATAAAGCATTCTTACACCTTGCAACACCGTGTTTCCCATAAGAACAACCAAAATACTTGATTTACCGCAACAACATTTCTTCACATTTTCACTGCGAAAAACTACTTTTCAAAAATTATGAAAATTTGTCAGAAGATACAAAACTCCACAATCTACAACTGTTACATTATAACTTTTGGAATTTGAATTTTCTAAGATACACAAAACAAGCCCGCAAACTAACAGAAATTTTTCGACGATATAGAACAACAACAGTCCAATAAAATAAGCATAACTTGAGCTCTATTGAGCATCTGACAACCTATATATACTATACCATTTGAAAGCTTATAGATTTTCTTTCAACTTTTATGTAGATCATTCCATGGTATTTTGGGCTTAAGATATCGTAAAACTAAATGCATCTAAAATTGCCCATAAGTTCGACAGCACAACTACATCATCAAACAACAGTCATGTCTCCCAAAGAATAAGGGGTATAAAGGTGATCTCTATGCTAAAAGAAAAAAACTAATAAAGTTTACTATTATTAGCATATATTTTTAAAGATTTTTAGTGCATAAAACAGCATGAAACAGCATATAAGCAACCACTCCATGATCTAAAAAAAAAATTGGACTTAATTACAAGATTATAACCTAATCCCATACACTAATCCATCTTATTGACTAAACCCTAGCATAAATCTCTTATAAAACCAGGGGGAAAATCACGATCTTAGTCTAATAACAAGTATGATGAAGACCCACAAAGATTAACCTCACATTTCCTTCTCCTTCATGGTGACCTCGCCGCTACACCTCTCGCCGACTTGATCTACGTCGCACACGACATCACCATCATGAACAGTGAGGGAAAGCACATAATTGAGGGGAAAACACAAATATAAGAAGATGTCTAACTTGTTTTTGAAGAAGGAACATATACGATGGCAAGCGATGGTCAAACCCGAATTTATCTTCCTCTCCACTCTTCTATGTTCACTTGTCTTATTTTCTCCCGTATGTGTGAAGAACGACGACTCAAGGGATGTGTATTAGGCTTTGTGGGGTTGGAGAAAGACATGACAGAAGAAATAAAGAAAAAGATAAGAGTCATAAAAAATTTAGAAAACTGACCTGAACATGTACTTTTTTTATATAATGGAAAGAGTATCCGGCTTCATCGTCATTGAAGAGGAGTCAGACCAACTTATCACAACTTACTTAACAACTCTGGATAAACAAAGTTCTTGTAAGAAAAACAACTCAAACCCCAAATATAAACAAACAAGGCCATCCATAGGACGCAAAGAGACTTATTGCTGCGGTCCCCAAAGTTTAACAATCCTCCACCATGAGCGCTTGTTGAACCTCAGTTGCAATTGGGCCCAGTACCGAAGCCAATGGGTCCCTAGGAATAACACCTGCAAAAGAGAATTGGTTCGACAATTGTCAAAAAACAACTTTGTTCCTTGTTATCTAGATTGACCATAAAATGGCCGCTGCACCAATGAGTAAGAGTGATCGAAAATTTTTATCTTTCCAAGAGTACCATCCATTAAACAAGTTATGGGCATTTCGAGTGGCTTAATTCCTAACACCATATGGACTGCTCTCCATAAAAACATGACATGTGAGCAATCAAAGAAGAGACGTTGGATGGTTTTAGGTTTATAAAAAAACAGCCGGACCTATCTCCATTCCAAATAAAGAACTTCTTGCCATGCGTTGCTCGTGGCCACACGTGTGCGGTGCTGGGCTTTAGTTGCCATGCGTTGTTGGCAGCCATAGAACTTGTAACACGCACAAGTGCAAGCTTACAATTTTGATAGTTGCCTATTTTGACTTTTTAAATAAGCATGTGTTTGGTTTGAGGACTAGGAGAATGGGATGGTCTTAGGGGGATAGGATCGTTTTTTTATTTTGTTTTGTTGGAGGGATTAAGAAGACGGACGGGTTATTGTTTTTTACACCATTATCAATAGTTATGTATGGGCCTCACATAGCAATTATGGGCCCATCTTTCATGCTCTATACCTTACCTCCTTCTAGAGATCGTCATCTCCCCGTGCTGGATCTCGCGGCGGCACCCATGGCGCGGATCTGCCAGGGATGACCGTGCGGGGGTGGACCGGGGCGTTAGGTGTTAGAGCCATGGCGCGTGGAACCACGCTGGAGAGGGTGGAACTGAGAGTGGCCATCGAGAGGGCGGTGGACCTGGGCACAAGGCGGTGGCCATGGTAGAGCCGGGAGCGGCTGTCGATGGGGGCAGACCTAGGCGCACAGCGACAGCCATGGACTCATTCCAGTTTGTCCCGCAATCAAACGCTGTGAAAAATAGGCTCGCTTGGTTTCATACCTCTATTTGTCCCACGAACCAAGCACATCCTAAAAAAAAGAAAACACCTTGTCGTTTTATTCCAAGTAAAGCGAGCGCACAGTAAAAAAAAAAGTAAATCGAGTGCAATCTTGCACGGTGATACATGAATTGTAAACTAAACTGGCTGGTCTCATATGAAAAAAAGCACAGAGAGAGCGGTCGTAACTAAACTGGTTGTGCACGTAGTGCCGATGATAATATATTTTGCTGCACCAGCACAACACTTCACTGCTCACTTCATCACTGATCGGCGAGCTCATCGACATCCATGCATCATCATGCGTCGCTGTGATGAGGGTCGATCTTATGGTCCCGCAGCTTGGGGAAGACGGTCCCGTCATAGATGCCCCTCACGGTGTCCTTGTGGAGGTACCCGTGCCTGTCCTTGCCCAGGAAGTGGATCTTCTATGAGAAAATTGTATCATTCATTTGAATTGTTGTTATTAGAAATGCTCCCAAAATAGTTTGGTTTGACTAGTATATATCATAGGATATATAATAAAGTATTAATAATGGTGAGTTGTGTTATTTACTAGCTATATCTTGAAAACCTGAAAAAAATGCATCAAGTGAAAAGGACAGGTCCTCGCAAAAAAAGAGGTAATATAGATATGTTATAGGTGTAGCACAATAAAAGTTAGTTACCATGAGAGAGGTTTGAGTAAGTCCCGGTTTGCGACGAGCATTGTCTCTACCTCCAACCACGACAAGGCGTCCTCCTCGCTGCGAGCAAACTTCTCGAATATCTTATCGAACTTTTTCGGGACAAAACTGAAAAATTGGAAAACAATTTATATAGTCGTAAATGTTAGAAGTAGAGATACTTATGTTCATGCATGTTAATTACAAGTGCAGAGACGATGGAGGTGTTTATATATACGTACTTTCCCCTCTTGTCATAGGCACCCGTGTCACTTGGATGCACTGCGGGCTCCGTGGATGTGGGACACATGGATGTTAGTGGTCGGTATTTTTCCAGGCTACAACAAGCAAGCAGTAAAGCACGGTAATAAGCACTTCTACTCCAGGTACATACATGCATGTATTCACACCCAATGGACAAATTAAGGAACAGAGATGTGTAGTATGAGCGTAGTACGTACGGGCGTTGTCAAAGGACCAAGAGCAGCATGGGTCGAGGTTGCCGCGGTAACCGCGAAGGCAGGGTCACATCCGATCGCAATAAAAGCTGTTTATATAGGACTATATTATATTGTCATCAATCAAAGTTAATTAGAAATAGAGTTGTTTATATCATCACCACGCACCTTTGATACTCTCCGTAATAGTAATAATGCCATCTTTGTTCTCGTCGAAGAACTTCACATGATGCATAAGATCCGTCATGTTAGCGCCATACGGTGATGCGGCTTGCGC